AAAAATGATCATATGCTTCTGTTGAATATAGTTTTATCACTAGGTATGCCGTGGTCAGATTCAACAAGGAACAAGAGCTACACGAGCAAGAGCTAGAAAGACTAGAAACAATTAATTTCTCGCCATAAACTAGTGTTCATAAATTGATTGTTTAACGTCTTGATTCTTGTTGTTTAGTTACCTACTTTTTATCAATAAAAAGACACTATTTATCATCGTAATTTATAACGAATCGAATATTTTTTGTCCTAACAACTTGTAAAGACCATATGGATTCAATAAACTAATTTTTTAATTATTGATAAGCCTCACCTCTTTGTTTTGGATACCTCTGCAAAACATAGAAGAAAATGCTTAGTAACAAGTTATAGATGAAATTATATGTATTAACATAGTATGGGGAGACTAAATTGAAGTATGATACTCACTGGCGTTTGCTTTTATCGGGGAAAATTATAGCACTGAAAATGTAAAAAAAAAATGAAAATATTTATAAAAAAACTCACAAGTCACAAACCAAGAAGAGTAAAGCGATATATATACATACTTCTCTCTTTCTTGATCAGGAAGGTTGATGTACCTCGCGAAAACGTCCTCGATGCTGAAATTAAGACAGTAAACGATATACAACACCATGTGTAATGCAGTAAGTGTATATGTACAACTATTTATTTAAGGTTGAAGACAGAGAACAGAGTTGCAGAGAGGAAACGGTGGGATAATGAAGGAGATAAAATTTTGCATGTTCATTGATGCCATCGAAACGTGACGTTTTTCTTGCATAGAGCGCCACGTATACTGCAGCTTTCGTATACTATTGCGACTTGAGTATGGTTATGTCGGATATAAAATTTATCAGATTTGAAAATGATGAGTTTCTCATAAATTTTATTTTTATTATGGTAATTTAATTTTATTTCTACGTCAAAAATAATGTTTTACATTAGTTTTGTTTTAGTAAACGATTTATATATTCAAATTATTTTTACGTTTTATTAGCATATTCATCATACCTTACAATTTGAAGATATTAATTTTAATGATTTTGAAATTTTATTGATAAATTATTGTGTATTAGACCAAAGTATTTATTTTTAAACGAGAATATTACAACAACAAAAATAACTGGTGATTAAACCTTCAGTAATATGCAAAAACGTGCCAACGTTCGGTTGCACCTCTAATAGGTTCGAAATTACAAAGCGATGTATAAAATAGCATAAAACTCAAAAAAATTACCATTACTAAAAAAAGAGACAAAGATCCACTGTTCCGTGGCTTGTCCGCTTTCCTTTTCAAATGATATATATGGGCAGTACGTAAACATGTTTATACGCAAAACGTGGTTACACTTCAACTAAGTTGATATAGCCCTGACGATCGAGAAGAATTCTAGAAATGGCACGATATGTTCGAGAAGAAGAAATAAAAATATATACCTTGTTTGACCGGAAAATAGACAAAGGCGATCGGAGGGGGAGAACATGAGGAGAGCAAGATCGATATCACAAAGTTTTGACAATTCATAAGCCTTTTTTATCAAACCTTTTTTACGTTTTGAAAACGTAATTTGTCGGTTCGTGCTCTTCTCTATCCGCTTTAGCTCCAATTTAACCCGACCCATACTATCCAAGTGATCACTGCAATAATCAAAACGCGATCTATAAATTACTTGATATAAATGTTTATTTGGTACGAGAGACTTTGATACGAGTTAAAACATTTATATACAGTATGAGCCGACGAGAGAATATCTTTATGTTTTGTATGTTTATAAGAGAGAGAAAGAGAGTTTACAAATGCGTGAACGGATAGACTTTTTGTTCGTAATTTGGACGAATGGTTGTCATATGGCTAGGTACATCACCTACATATATACTCACTTTTATATAATACTTATAAATTTTTGTAACCATTTACTCGACATTTTAACAATTTAAAACAAAACTTTTACTCTAATATATAACATTAGTTTTCTTGGCATTGATTTGGCCACATGCATATTTGCGTATAGGAATGAATGTACTATATATCCAAAATATAATGGCTCAGATTACTGATACACGTAAGATGGTATAAAACTATAAATTTTTTGATGGTACAAAAGAATATAAAATAGTAGTATAAAGTGGTGATAAAAGATGACGGTAAAATAAAAATAGTGATATTAGCACTCGTAACATCGTTAATTTGTTGTTTTTCTGAATAGTTAACACAAGGAACAATACAGTTTGTACAATATAACAATATATAGCCACTAATATATATACCAGTGAAAACATGTGAGAAATATATCTGATGGAAATATAGAGAGTGAAATGAAAGCTTATTATATAGCTGCCTCTTGATGAAGGAACTTCAAAGGAAGGTAAAAGATTTAGGGTTCGTATTAATGTATATGACGACCACCTAGTCTCAGAGTGTGACACGTAGTGT